TAATGCCCTGAAGTTACACTAAGGTATAAGGTTACTAAAAGACACTAACTTTGCCGCAGTTCCCCTTTTCCTCTGCGCATGCGACAGAACTTTGCCACAGTTCCCCTTTTCCTCTGCGCATGCGACAGAACTTTGCCACAGTTCCCCTTTTCCTCTGCGCATGCGACAGAACTTTGCCACAGTTCCCCTTTTCCTCTGCGCATGCGACAGAACTTTGCCACAGTTCCCCTTTTCCTCTGCGCATGCGACAGAACTTTGCCACAGTTCCCCTTTTCCTCTGCGCATGCGACAGAACTTTTTGCCGCAGTTCTGCTTTTGAAATACGCATGCACTAAACTTAACAGGAGATATTAACCAATAGCAAACTAAGCCTAGCCCATAAGATAAGACGTAACAACAAGGAAATTGTGGTACTGCCAATAGTTGTATGACACGTTGTAGCCCTTTGTTTATGTAAGCTATAAAAGTGTAACCCCGAGAGAAATTCGGGGTTGACACTGCTTTGAGCATCAGCTCCTCTGTCGACATTGCTTGCGCAATCAATAAACTCATGATGGACTCACCCTGTGTGTGACTGTCTCCTTGAGGTGAAATTGGTCTAGCCTCCAGGGGCACGAAACTAGCCATTTGGGCAACAATGATGGGTGTTCAAAGTGACTAACAGCTCATAGGAGACTATTTTTCCCTTCAGCCCTTCTCTTGTCCTAATATACTTCACTGTTTCAAATAACAAGGAAAATTAGAAAGAATGACATTAGACGTTAAAGAAGTAAAAATCCAAAAGGAAGGAGCAAAGAAATTAGGAAGAGAAATAATGTTGAGACTTTGATTCAGTGCGATGTATTTGCAATAATCCCCTTTTTCTTTGTTATAGGTACACAATCCTGTACACTGTGGCCCAACCCTACAGCTAGAAGCAGCATTTGAAAAAACCTTTGACTTAGCTTTTTTTTAACACTACTAATATTTCTCTTGTTAACACTGACAAATAACATACTTCAGGACAGCAATTTTGATTATATTGATTTGCTGGTAATGGTGTCAGCATTAGATACAGCTCAGGATATGAGTCATGATGAAGTTTCACACCATAACTTCTGGCTGATCTTTTATGCACCTTTTAAAAAAATCTTTCAGGCTGTTTGGGCCTTGTGATGTGGTAACTTTGGGCAACTCCTAGAGCTCTTAACCCCTGGATTGTCCTCACATTAACATCTTAAAGTGATTTTAAGTGCTTGTTATGTCAATCAAAGTTACACCACTCTAGGGCAGAATTATCTCTCTGCATTACCCAGCTCCTGTTCCATTAAGCCAGGGTGGGCAAAGTCTAGCCTGCAAGCCAGATAGGGTCTGTGGCCGACTCCATTTTCCAGCAGCCCCTGCTCACATTGCTGTGGCTGGTTTCCATGGAGACCCCATTAGTGGCAGTGCCAATGACAGCGCAGGACCAGGGTTTCCATGGAGATCAGCCCCAGGAGAGCTGGCAGGCCACATGACTGGGTAGGGAGCTTCTTCAGGCCCAGGGCTGGGATCTGGCAGCAGTGACAGCATGGACCAGAGATGGCGAAGAGCAGAGATCTGCTGTCTGCATGCGCTGGATCTGGGAGGGGTAGAGGAGGTGCCTGGCATCTGCAGTCAATGGATTGCAGCTGTGCCTCAGTGTTGGACCATGCTGTCACCACTGCAAGATCCCAGCCTGGCCCTGGAGCAGTTCCCCACCCAGCTGTGCACCCTGCCAGTGCTGCTGGGGCTGGTCTCCATGGAAACACTGGCCCTACACTGTCATGGTGCTGCTGCTATTGGGGTCTCCATGAAAACCAGCCACAGCAATGTGAGCAGGGGCTGTTGGGAAATGGAGTCCAGCTGCTGACCAGATCTGCCATTTTGCCCACTCCGACCATCCTCCACAGTTGACACCCAAGTTGAAATCTTCCAGTCTACCAGGATCTCTCTCATCTCTGCCCATACAGTGGGGATAGAAGCCTGTCCTGGCTCACCAGCTCTCTAGTGGCAACTTTCAGCTACAGCTCCTAGTACTGCCCGTGGCTGGCAAGTCACAGCTGTGCAGATGAGGAACAGTAAGAGAAGGTTTCTTGACTAATGGTGTCACTTCTTCAAACTAACACTGATCAACATTTGTGTGACTCACAGTGTAAGGTGTAACAAAGTCTGTTAGCATTTACGGAGAAAAAATATGTGTAGCTGGCTGTGATTGTTTGGCAAATTCCATTCATGTAATATGGCACTAGATCTTAATTTATACCATGACCAGAGCATTGGTAGAATAATGTAAAAGAACTTTTATGCATGTTGAATAAGACATATTAAGACCTGATGCTTATCTATATTAAGGGTCTGATCTAGCACCTACTGAAACCAGTGGCAAAGCTCCCAGTGATTTCACCAGTTTCAAGATCAGGTAGATAGATATTCCACTGCATGGTATGAGTTTAACCTTGATGGAACTCCAATGAGCAGATAGAGAACAGCAGAGAGCAGAAGCAAGATGGTGGGGAGCCATGTCTAGTGGTTTCATGCCAAGACAAAATGAGTGTGAAGTGAGAAGAGGCATCACTAGAGGCTTTTGTCCCCCGCAAGATACCCATTAACAATGGTATGTGATGCCTCACCATGAGCTGCTGATAGTTTCCAACAATCTATAATTCCCTCTGAAGACTGAGTGGATTTCAGACACCCACAATTTTAAGGAACAAATTGGAAGTGCAAGGATAAGGAAAGCACAGGAGTTTTCTTATATTTTTCTAAAGGGAAAAGCTGTAAACAAATAACAAATAACCTTCCTTCATTTGCAGGCATTTTCATATATCCAGTTGAAAGAGTTCATGGTTCTCTGATACTGAATCCAAACATACGTAAGTTATTTTGAAAACTATAGCTTTTATCATTATAAATGTCCCTTTGTTTAATTCTACTGAGATAGAATTGTTTTATGTGTTTTAGAATAATATTTTATAAAGGTTTTGGCAATGGATAAAGTGTCAGTTCCTCTTATGGTTAAAATATACCATAGACAAAAACGGTTATTTAAATTGGCTTGACAATGTCTGGTTGCTGTTTTCTCAAGTGCATTGAAGTTTAGTTTTCCCAGACGTTACTCAATCTACCTTACACTGGCAAAAAAAGGTTTCATCTGTTATTTCTAGTCTTAAAAGTATTCATGCAGAATTCACACTTCTCAATCCCTGATGATGTAGGGCTAGTTATATTAATAAAATAAAATATATATGTCTTATGATCCAGGCCAGCTGGAGGACAGTATACAGAGTAAAAATGTGAGCCCTGAGCAAATGACACATGATTTCCTGAGTTGGAGCTCTGCTTCTTGAGACAGGGATTGATATTTTTAGGTATCTGGTGCATATTCACAGGGAGCCCTACTGGAAAGATATAAAAATAAAATGGAGGCAGCAGTAGAAATAACACATGTACATTTGGTACATCAATAAGAATATAATTTATTATCATACAACACCTACACTGCCTTGAGTAAATTATGCTCCTGTTTATGCATAGAATGTCAATGGAATTTATCTGAATTTATGCATGGGAAAATAATAACAGAATCTGACAGATTTGTAAGGAAGAAATAAAATTTAGGATGGGAACATCCTTAGGAATCTTTATAGATTTTATGTTAGTGAAACTGGTAGGCTTTGCTTAAAAATATGCAGTGTATTCTTTCCCTTCTAGTGAGGGAGGGAGGCATGGTTTCAGCCTTTATTCAAAGCTTTTGAATGGTGAATTTAGCTTATGTAGAAGACTTTATAATTCAGTTCCTGGCATAGACCCCTATAGAAAAGTCAAAACTGACTAAGGTAACCACCTGTACTTAAGAAAACACATGTGAAAGGATAAAAAAAACTTCAGTAGATTTCACTATTTGGCGCATGGAATGTGGGAGGCTGCCATCTTTGAACATGGTGACAATCGCTCTTTGGTGACCGGTATCTCCTTTTCTAAGTATGGCACAAAGGTAATCTTGATGTCTAACCCAATGTTTTCAAAGGTCAACAGAAAGGTAACAGAAACAAATTGATACTATATATTGCTCTTCCAAAATAATTATTGAGTTTGTCATATGTGTGAGTTTGCTACTGTCTTATTTTACTAAATAGATAAATATAAGTTATTGGACTGCTCAATTTATTGTGTACTCTTTTGTTTACTGTGCATTATTTTAATGACCAGTTACTATTACTGTATTAACTGTAGTTTAATGGCTTTAATGTTTTCCTGAGTCATTATGTTTGCAGCCAAAATCACAAGTAACTGTTTTTGTTTTCTGATTTTCAGATTGAAATACAGAACGTGGCAGATCATGTGGGGAGAATTACAATTCCTAGGAAGTCATGAGAAAATTGTCATGTTGATTTAAGCAAGTGTATTATCTGTCAGGGTAAAAATGATAAAAAAATTACTACAACTTCAAATGGATGAAAATGAATCATGGAAGCATCAGAGATTAGGAATGATATTGTCATAAAAAGACTGAGACAAGTGTAGACTGATACAGGCAGTCCTTGACTTACAACATTTCGAGTTACAACATTTCACACTTACAACATTTATAAATTGACAACTTGTTTCAACTTTCTGATGTCAGTTTCGACTTTACAACACTTGAGCTGATGCCACGCTATACCAGTGGACAAGTCTTCTGCATCACCCATCTCCCTGGAGAACATCTGTACAAACTTCCTTGGACACTTTCTTTAAGAAAGCCAGCAAGACTTCAGAAAAACCTGAAGCCAAGACTCTTGAGAAGACTCCAGCCAAGAGCCCTTCAAAAAGTCCAGCAAAGTCACCTCAAAGTCAGGGTAAAAATGATAAAAAAATTACTACAACTTCAAATGGATGAAAATGAATCATGGAAGCATCAGAGATTAGGAATGATATTGTCATAAAAAGACTGAGACAAGTGTAGACTGATACAGGCAGTCCTTGACTTACAACATTTCGAGTTACAACATTTCACACTTACAACATTTATAAATTGACAACTTGTTTCAACTTTCTGATGTCAGTTTCGACTTTACAACACTTGAGCTGATGCCACGCTATACCAGTGGACAAGTCTTCTGCATCACCCATCTCCCTGGAGAACATCTGTACAAACTTCCTTGGACACTTTCTTTAAGAAAGCCAGCAAGACTTCAGAAAAACCTGAAGCCAAGACTCTTGAGAAGACTCCAGCCAAGAGCCCTTCAAAAAGTCCAGCAAAGTCACCTCAAAGAAGCCCTTCTAAATTAATATGATACCTATTTACAATATAAATACATGAATGTAGCTATATTACTCATCAGTAATTGATTGAGTACAAAATTCTGGGTTATTTTTGGTGAAAATAGGGTCTTGGGTCTTGGTTTAGGAACCAATCTCCCATTTATAACATTGCTTCCTTTGGGAAAATCAGTTCTGAATTGCAACGTTTTGACTTAAGGCACAATTTTCAGGAACCAATTGTGTCGTAAGTCAGAGACTGCCTGTACTGAATTTGTGTACCATGTAAATAACCAGTGTTGTAAGAAACAAACATTGAAAAATAGTCTAGTGAAGGCCATCCATAACATAATAAGAAATAAGTTCTGCATCTGTGAAACAAAAAGGGCTTCCAAATTTCTGGCAGCTGCTCTTTATCTGCAGGATGATGGCTTCTCTTGAGCTTCAGATCTAGAAGCAGAATCCCAAGTGTTTGAAGCAGATGTATTTTATTACAAAGTATGCCTGGAAATGTATCTTTGAAGAAATATGACAACACTCTTAAGCAGTCTGTTACCCAAAAAAACCCTCTCTTAAGGATCAGCTTTTGAGAAAGCAAATGAAATTGTGGTGCCTATGTTGATAGATGGTTATGGTTTCACACTTTCTGAAGTAAGAGACCTAGTAAATGATTTGGCGGGTGGTGACATAATAAGGAATAATGAAGTGAAAGTGTGTTTACAAAAGTACCATGGAAATGGTATGTGTTTGAGTTATTCAGATTGCAAAATGGCTCCAACCTTCCCTATACCATGTTCCATGCCTTGCAGATAGCATCCATGGCCTAACACCTGGCCTCTATGCCCGGTACTTGACATTGTGACCCACACTCCAGAGTCTCACATGGGACTCTCACTCCCAACTGGAGCTTGCAGTCACTGTGCCCTCACACTAGGATTTCCTTTAATCCATTAGGGCTCCCAGCTCTTACCTACTTAAAACTCTGTGCCCTTACCAACTCAGGGCTCCAACCCCAGCTCTGCATTCTCTCAGTCCCCCCATGCCTCTAAACTGGGGCCCTCATCCCCTGCCCTACAGCTTCCCCCCACTTCTTTCTCTCTTCAAAATGAACATCTCAGAAGATACTTCTTTGTGACACATGAATGCTTTAGCCTGTATGATACCTAAAGGAGCATGTAAAATCTGAAAGATTTTGGGTGGTATGAAGACCCAAGTGGAGCCCTTTTTCTGGACAAATGTCTCCATTCTGTTCCTGATGAATTACTGCTGACATAACTGTGCAACATGCAAAACTGCAAGATGCAAGTGCCAAAAAATACATTTGTTGTACTGAATACTGCAAATGTAGTGAAAACTGTATAAGGAAAACCAAGTAGTCTAATGGATGATGTCTTGGATCACCTCAAAACATTAAAAGAAAAAATATTTCAATAGTTGCATTAATTTGTTTGATATATTGTATGTTATAGCACTTTTTATTAATTCCATATTGATATTCCAGTATTTTATATGCATCATTTAGATTTCAACAGATACGTAAGAAAAATTTCCATAAATAAAGTAATGTTGAGATAATTTGCCTTGACAGAATTGAGAACCCTACTTTTGTCACTATGATATTGGAAACATCTTTATTGACTTGTTTGACCTTGAAAGCATTGGGTTAGACACCAAGATGACCTTTGTACCATACTTAGAAGAGGAGATAACTAGTCACCAAATAGCAACTGTCACCATGTTCAAAGATGGTGCCCTCCCATGTTCTGTGCACTGAATAGTGAAGACTACAGATTTGGGGGGGGGGGGTTATCCTTTCACATGTGTTTTCTTAAATGTAGGTGTTTACCTTAGTCAGTTTTGACTTTTCTACAAGGATCTGTGCCAGGGACAGGCCTATTATATGTAGCATAGTGAAAAAGGTAGCTTACTTTTTCTTGTCTTGTCTTTTCTTTTTCTTTCTTTCTTTTCTTTTTGTTTTCCTTCCTTTCAATTTGATGCATTTTAGCAATTATGAAAGCACTGCACCCCTCCTATGTTGAGATAAAAATAAAGTTCAAAGCTCCCCACAGGACCTATTAGTGGAGAAATTTGAACTGGTGGGAAATCTGAACTGATGAGAAAAGACATTGTAGTATTCATTTTGATTCCATATATGACTAAAGATAAGTGGGAATCTGTAAGTGTTTATTCATCTGCTATGTTTATTCATGACAAAAGGCTTGATCCAGCAAGTAGTAGGGATGGAGTGTTATTGTAGGCATGATCATGCAGGAAATGTGAGGAGCAAGGGGTTTTTTTATTATATTTTTCATTGAATCTACCGTATAGTTGGGAGGAATGTCAGACAAATTGTTGGACACAAAGGGTGCTGGCTGATGTGTGGGTCTCCACTCTAATTCATGGTGCTTTTACATAAATTACCACGAGTTAGAACACCCCCCCCGCCCCGACCCAACAGACATTCACCTGTTGCATTGGGGTGGGGAGGATTGAGTCTGCATGCAGGCAAGCAGACAGCCAAGGAGCAGCCCCTCTCTGCCCCAGCGTCATGGCTTTCAGC